GAGACTCCGCGGCACTAGGAGCCGACGGGGCGCATTCGAGTCATCCTGTTCTCACCAAACAACCCCTGTCTCGTCGAGATAAAAACAGTCTCGCTCCAGAAGATAGCACTTCTCTTCCGCACTACAGATTATTAAGTCACTTTCGGTAGGTAGGTCCCCAGACTCTAAGTACTGTCTGAGGTATACCATAGCTTCGTCCTTCCTCTGTTTTTGGGCTATGTCTGCGGAACTGTATGAGGATAGCGAAATTCCCGCAGTTTCACCTGTTAACTGACAGACTTGAGGACACACTGTCTCAATCTTGGGATTTAAACTTGACACCCCACTGACATTAAACTGGAAACTAGGTAGTGCAGAAGCACTCACAGTCGAAGGAGTATCTTCCCAAGAACTAGAAACAATGGCCTGACGAAGGGTGGGATCTAGTGAACCACAACTACCCCTCTCAGCAGACGAACTTTCCGCTGGCACAGGCGTCTCGTCAAAGAGTTGGGACAAAGGAATGACATCGTCTATTTCAGAGTTAAAGTCATGCCAGCGCTCGTGGGCTCGGCGGCAATAACGGCATCCGCCGCAGGGCATGTCCTCGACCCTAATTCTCGTCGAGTACCCCTGGCATGAATCGGGTATGTCCCGGGACAGAGCGTCCGCATTCACATGCTTCTTTCCCGGGCGGTGTACGATCCGCATGTTGTACTGGCTCAGTTCCTCGAGCCATCGAGCAATCTGGTTCTGCGGATGCTTGAAGTTCATTAGCCATACCAGGCTATGATGATCGGTCCTGACTGTGAACTCACGACCCAGCAGGTAATGGCGGAATTGTCTGGTAAACTTAATGACCGCCAATAGATATCGAATTTTGAAAATTTTTGCATTATTCGAATAAAAATGTACAAAAATTATAAAACATAAATTTCATATTTTTTTTCTTCAAAAATTGTTTTAGAAGAGGTGTACTAATCCATTTATAGACATTAAAAATACCGCACACAGGTCCTTCATTTAGTGGAACTCTTCAACTCCAGGGGAGAACCCAAACAAGTTCAAACTACGTTGCGTATGACCTTAAACTGCTTCAGTACTTCTCTTACTTTGCTATAGGTACAAACCAGTAAAGCTTCAGTCTTGACAGAGGCTTCTGGTTTATGCAGGTTTCATTTCTAAGTAACTTGAGCTCTATGTTGACCAAACTTGCGTGAATGATACATATAAGGATGCACACTAATGGACTTGCTTCAGATGCTGAATTTGACATAACATTTTCAAGATAATTGACCTCGTAAAAGATATGGGTGCAGGTCTATTACCAAGACACTATAAGGCTCATTTAAACCAAACTTGCACAAATGATGCATCAAGAGATGAAAACTCTCAAACTTGCTTCAGATGCTGGATTTTAATGATGTACGTTTCATGATGAAGAACTAGTTTAAAGTTTTTATATAGGTCTGTTCCAAAGTATCAAATCAAAATTGCATAACTTCTGCATTTTTAGATGTACACTTTTTGTGGGTAATTGTGTGACTTTGCCTTACTTAAAGACAACATTCGTTGAGGTGAGCTTTGTAATCTCTGATTACCTAATGTTTTCTATTTTCAAGCAGAAGAAAGTTAAGGCTGAACAGGATCCTGAAGTGAGGAGGAGTCCCTTTCCTGCATTCATGAGCAGAAAAAGCGGTGAGATTTAGACTTTACTTGACTCTTGCACCTTTTCCTGATATGCTGCTTTCCAATATGCCAGTTTCGAGATTGTAACTCTCCTGCGATAGAGGCGCGAAAAGTATCCATTTCAGCATGGAGGTGGGACAGTTTGCTTATGTATACAAACTTGCATAAATAAATGAATGATGTCTATGGCTTTTAAAATTTATCTAATGTCATAGAAAGATAAAGATGTTAATCAGTAATACATTTAATGATGTTATCAAGCTCAACTGCATGTGTATTTTATAAATCTACTCTCAATTATAGGGTACTTGAAAACAAAATAAACGTCGTGGTCTTTATAAAAGTAAAAGATTTCCTTGATTGTACAAACATTTCTCTAAAAAGTTGGAGGGTTTTTTGAAGTTATAATAAGGTAAAAAATCAATGTTTCATTTAAATTGCCGACATGTAATGATCAGATTCATGTTTACCGTTTTTATTAGAGGTCCATATATCTCCTCCCTCGTCTAAAAAATCTCATATCCACTGAATTTTCTTTTTTGTTCCTATTTTTTTGCCTTAAAAAACGATACCTTTACTTTAATTCGGTTGTTCTCGAGTTGAACAGTGCATCATTACAATTATATAGTTATGATAAACCAGTATATCGATGATGCGATATATCCAATGATAATTATCTGCCCCACCTGTTTGTTTACGCAGCAACGAAACTCCCCTCCTCAACGAAAGAGCGCACCAAGGGAGATAACGTCAAACTTGCGTATTGATGTTGGCTTTGTCAGGCTTTGACCTCTTGACTTTCAATTGCCAGGATGCAGAGATGCTGATAAAGTTCAGAGGGAACATCACCAGGAGCCACAACAACAACCAAAGAAGCTTTCTCTCAATTTTCTTTGTCCTCCCCCCCCCCCCCCGACTCCAACTAGGGGTCGGTTTCATGAACGATAACTCACTGCTGAAACTTGTTGAGAGCAGGCTCAGGGTATCTAACTGTTCAGACACAAGGCAGTTTTTAGCTTATCAGTAGAATACAGTGGTTTTAAAATTAACAATGTTACACTTATTTACTGTATAGTTGCGGATACCATTTCACTACATATCAATAAAAGTTTTAATTAAAACTAGAGGTACTGTGAGCAATGAGCTCACTAAACGATACCCCCCACCTTCCATATGAATATAATGGTTTCCTTGTTTTGCTTTGGAAAATCAAAAATATATGTCAGATCAAAAAGTAAAATAGGAGGTCCACAATGGCAATATGTAATGAAGAATCTCATCAAATTTCCTTCAGTGGTATGAGAGGAGTTGCGGATAAGAGATGGGTACCCCAAAGCGTAACAGACGGACGGACGGAAATACCGATTACTATATACCCCCCACTGTTCAAGCGGGGGGTATAATAAAAAGTGAAATCTACCATCCTTCTTAGTTCTAACCTAATTAAATTTTTATGCTCTGTCATTCCCCTTCGTGCTTAGTAACGCAAGTAAAATGATAAAAATTGCTGCATTTACTTGTAAAAATATATATATTTATAAAGGAAGCAAAAAAGCGAGCACACAAAAAATACGACATTAAATTCTCTTCATAATAATAATCGTCAAAGATAGTTAAAAATATTGAATATAGTCTGTTCCCCATTCATTTTACCCTGTTATTTCAAGGGATGGCATTCTCTTTCTCATGGTCAACACTTTTGTATACAAAACAATGTAAGGAACCCTTTTGTATACATAACAATACCAATGCTGAAGCAGCCTATATGTCATTCCTATAAACTATAACTCATAAATCGGCACTAAGTTGGTCATTTTTTACACCTCAGTTACCTATCCTTAAAACACAACATCGGAAAAGTCAAGTATAAATGATTAACCTTTTTAAGGAGGTAATTAAAAGTATGCACAAGTTATTATCATAATTAAACTTTTTAATGATGTCATTAAATGTATGCATATGTAATTATTTTTTTGATAATTTCATGTACCTATAAATCTATCTACATGTATGCAATGTACACTTAGATTAGTTCTCGACTTTTTGTTTATTTCTACGTACGTCTCTCAAGTTTCAAATCGGACGTTACAATAAAGCAGTTATCTCTCTTCTCCTGTGGTTTTTTCTCTCTTTTTTTTGGGGGGGGGGGAGGTGTAATTTCTCAGCTTAATTTATGATTCAGTTTCTATGTAAATAATAAAAAAAGTAATTTAATTACATACCTGACATTTTCCTTTTCATGTAATCTCTATGAATAGACATTCTATCATATTTGTCAAACATTAAATGACAAAACCCACACTGATACATTTTGTTAAGGCTAATAAAAACATTCCAAGCAAAATAGTCTTCAGTGTCAAGATCACATCATGGAACTATGATACTGAATTTAATATTAACATCTAACATTTTAATACGAGCCTATTTTTTTTTCATTGGCTGCCTCTGACGATGTAAGACAATCATCTTCTTCAAAAGTGACAAGAATATCCAATATAAATTTAATAATTGTATCGATTTCATGATTCTTCATTTTGCAATTCATAAATTTTTAATGATCACCTTTTCATTGTTCATTAACCATTCATTCACCTTAAATTCAGACCATGTTCACTTTAAATTTTAATGTTTTGAGTTATTTTACAAAGAGACCTTTTTTATTTCAAAATAAATATCTGCCCAATATCACCTTAGTATCAATTTTATGTACAGAGTACATCACTTGAAAATTTCTAATCTCACTTTCATATTAATTCACTCAATTCTTACAACACCTTTAATATAAAAAAAAGGTATAATGATTTTTATCACTTCTTGATTTCTGCACTCTCTCTTTGAACCTGTATAAATTGCGAATTTCAGTTTGCATTCATCTTTAACGAAAAATAACCAGCAGAAATGTTCCTTTTTGTGTATCTTTGTTTTAAGTTGAATTGAAGGAAATTTTAAACAATAAATCATTTCATATATAATCTGTATCATCATCTTCGATCTTCTGTTAGTTGCTACTTCCATTTTGATTTTCTTCTTGTATGTTTTTATCATTACTTGTATGTCCTGATGAACCTCAAATTGATATCAATAAATCTTATCTTATCTATAATCTCATTAATAAAAAAAATAATAATAAAAATAATACACAAAATGGGATCGGATATGACCTTAATATAGACACAATGCTCTACACTTATTTAATTCACAGGCCCCTTACTCCTGGTGTGTGGAGGAGACGGGGGGGGGGGGGGGAGGGGTGGCCTGAGCCGTCACAGTCATGGTGGATTCCATTGTAGTAGGCCTACTACACTCGCACGCGCTGGACTCAAAGGAGGGTAATGGCTGACGTGGAGGCTCCGGGCGCGGCGGAGCGGGGCTGCGTGGCGGTGAAGGTGCCAGCCTCTTCCTCACCGTCATCGGTATCGGGTTGGACTCCGGGGGGACTCCCTCTGCAAGAGATATCGCAGGCACAAGGACACCGCAACGAAAATAACCAGTGCCAAGGCCGAAACCACCATGTCGTAAGCATCAGTAACTGGAAATATAAGAAAAATAGGATTAAATTACAAATTAAATTTTAAATTACTTAAGCGGTATATCAATAAAAACGATAAATATTTTTTAGTTTTTTTTATTTCATTCATAAAATTGATAACATACATAAAATATTATTTGATTAAGAAAATGAATCACAAGATGATATTACATTAAAAATAATTTTTTTTCTCTTATTTTTTAAACATCTTTTTCGATATAATTTTTTTTACGATTTTTTTATGTGTCATTATTGTTACTAAAATCATATTAGTCATCTATTGTATGAATTTCCTTTCAATTAAATACATGCTTACACGAAATATAAGACAAGAATATTAAATATTCCATTAATTTGTATCATCGTGCAATATACCCAAATCGTCAGTGGTATCCGAGTCGTCGTTGCCTGAAGTTCCAATTGGCGTCGTTCGTCGATTCATGTTTTCAGACACATTGTTGATAGTCGAAGTATAAGGGTGATGTATTTTAGTAGTGTCAGCAGAATTATCAGTGTGAGGTGAAAATGTTGTTGAAGTCTGTAGTTGATCTTTTAATTTTTAGTGTCGAAGATTCAGAAGAATCTGAAGTCCAATAAAATAACTTTTGTAAGAAAAAATAAAATCAGATGAAAAAATTATTATAAAAGATATAAAAGATACAAAGGAAAATAATTCCGATAAAAAAAATCATTTCGATTGAATGATTCTTACAGCAATTTTAAGTCTCAGGCAATTCCAAGTTTTTTTCTTTGTTAGGAATCACGCTTTTGTTCTCAAAAAAGAAAAATCAGGCTTGAATTCATAAAATAGATATCATTCTGCTAAATATTTGATTGAACTGGTTTTTTTTTATCAAGAAATATTTTTAAACCTATAATGCAAAGTGTTGAGTCAGATAGAAAGAAAAACACCTTTATCATATACTTAGTAGTAAATACGTCGATTCTGCACGGTGCGATACGGGTGACGTCACAATACCTCATATCACGGACCGGTCCGAAAAGCCATATCACGCATCAGACCGGCGGGCCGATAATCCATATCAAACCGGAAATTACGTTTTCGCCCGGAACGTTTCTAGATTTATTAGCTTCATTTCATTACAGACGACAACTATCACAGCAATGGATTTCGAGCTTGGCTCTCCGCTAGATAATGACACTGCAGACACACACAAATTCGTAAAAAACTTGCGCAATCCAAATACCGTTAGGAAAACAAATTCAAATGTTAATATTTTTCGAAACTGGTTGAGAGGTAAAAACGAGAGCAGGCCCATAGTTGACTTAGAGGTGATCGTCTTAGATAAATACCTGGCTGTGTTTTTTATGACGGCAAAGAAACAAGATGATAGTGAATATGAGCCAGAGACATTGAAAAGTGTGCAGTCAAGTATAAACAGGTATCTAAAGCAGAATAATAGACATATAAACATTATTGAGGACAAGGAGTTTTCTCATTCGAGAGAAGTAGTGGCTTCCAAAATGAAATTATTAAGACAACAAGGAAAAGGAAACAAGTCAAGGCAAGCAGATCCTCTGACAAGTGAAGAAATCGACATCTTATATGAAAGAAATCTCTTGGGGAAAGGTATGTTGTTTAGAAATGCAATCTTAATTTGTGTGTGTGTGTCACAGTCTATAAATATAGCATAAATGCTTTAGGTCTAGAACTAAGCCTACATGTATATAAATTTCAGGAAATCCCAAAGCAGTGATAAATACGTTGTATATCAACAATACACTACATTTTGGTATGAGATCAAGACTGGAGCACTCAAATTTGAGGTGGGGAGATGTTCAAGTCAAAATTGATACTTCAGGACAGAAATTCTTAGAATTTACAGAACGTGCTACAAAGACAAGAAATGGTGTTGTTGGGGGATCGAGGCCATATGCTCCAAAGATGTATGAAGACAAAGGTATTTATTGACATTTTCTCCATTAATGCTGCAGTTTTAACTACATGTATTTATTAAAACATACTATGGTAAATACTGTGTTTAAAAATGATACTTTTTTTGCAGACAATCCCAGGTGTCCTGTTGCTATGTATGAGTTTTATGCTGAAAAACGACCCCAGACAATGTTGAAAAAGGAAGATCCATTCTACTTAGGAGTCCATAGAAACTGGGCTGAAAAAACTGTTTGGTATGTGTCTCAGGCTCTTGGAAAGAACTCATTAGGGTGCCTTGTAAAAAGTATGTGCTCCGAAGCAGGAATCGCTGGACGCAAAGTAAACCATAGTGCCCGAAAAACTGC